ACTTGGCGTTGCTAGATCATGGTATAATATAGTACTAAAAACGTGAATGTAAAATAAGAAATATGAGAAGTTTTTCATGAGAATATGAAAGTATCTAGCGTAAGTATATTTTCAATTGGATTAAATAGTCTAAGTAATAAATCGTATAAGTTATAGAAAGTTGTGCAAATGTTTCTCATTTTTTTTATTTTACATTCATGTGACCTTATTATTTAGATTTTTATTCGAGAGGCACATATATACTTAGCCTTTTTTTTATCTTTTTTCATATACATGTCAGTTAATAGCCGCCGTAGCATTTAATGTAGAATCTATAATAGGAATCATATACGAGAGGATCTTATTCCAACTAAGAGTTAAAGTTGTAGGAAATTGATCAATTACAGTCAAATATAAAGAAAATCGGTTATGATTTTCTAAAGACTTCATGATCATCTACGACTCCTATTATAAACCTCGCGTAAATGTGTATGTCCGCCATTTTTTATCCAACTAAAACTTATATAATCTCTTAATATAATGTCTCTACGTGGAGATAGTATGTGCAGTACTCTTCGGGGGATGGCACTATCCCTAAAAAAATATAACTTAACCCAATTCATATTTTATTGGTTGATTCCCGTTTTGTGTGGAAAGTCATGCGCTCCTAAATAGGAAGAGGGGGGGGGGGGGAATCTTCCTTCGCGTGAAAAGTCGCTTTTAGGCAGAGAGGGAGGTGAAGTAAACCTCTCTTCACGAAAGTCGTATTTCTTTAATTGATCCACCATATCTCCCTCTCTAGAGTCTTATCCGACTTTTCACGTAAAGCATAGAAATAATTATTAACTTTGTTTGACTGTTAATAACTTTTTAACGAATAATTAGCGACGGCAGAAACCTGTCGTAAGTCATGATCTTAACATATATCAAAGATTATTAGAGGGATACCTCTAAACAGGATGTTTATTTTAATTTACATTGATTGAGACTTTATGATAACCAAAACATTTAGATATTGAACGTATAAATACATTATTATATCTATTTTTTAACATCTTTCTTGTTCAATCATTGATTGTTTTAAATTATGTATTATTAACT